ATGAAAAATAGAACATTGATGATATTAATTAAAAAAAATGCATTCTATCACGTGATCATTGTAATAGATATTTATCTTTTAATATTTTGTATATTATTGAATATGGCAAATATTCTTTATACAATTTTTCTGTAAAGGTAAAGAATCCGCTGTCTAAAAATGAAAATTCATACGTAATGAAGAGTTAAGTGTTGAGTTCTTATGAAATCATTTCTCGCACGATCATTGTTAAATAAAATGGCTGCAGCCACTTATAATTAGGATTAATATTTTCGTAGACATCTAAGAGACCGAGAGGACGTATATCTTTAAGAAAAAAGATGCACGCTACCGTGAAACGCGACCGTGCCTAGCAGCCGGTGTCCTCGAACGGTTTAATTTTAGTGGGCGCGTAGAAAAACGATGAAAATACCATGAAATCGCGGTTTCGCAAACGGCGGCCGGTAAACAAGGTCTTCGTGTAGGTGCACCGGCGCATCGCAACTCGGATGCGTCGCACCGATCGGTGCAACGCTTCGTGAATCATTATTCCACATTACAATTTCGATTAATCTCGTTAAAAATTTCTAATAAACGGTTATTAAAAAGTCGAATATAACAGATTGATTATAAATAGAGTGCAGATTTTTATGCAAGCATTTACGATGAAAAACTTCAGACTGTGATTTCTCTCATTCGACGGCAGCCATAGTTCTGATCTCCATATCAATTTCATTTACAAAAGACAGATTGAGTTATTTGTCAGAGGGAGGCGGCGGACGGGGATTATTAATACGTAAGATAGTTTAGATGAAACTCACTGAAACTAGCCGCTGGCTGAGCGTGATCCGCGGCCGTGGCTGCGGACGGAGGGGTGTAGCTGCTGCAGTAGTACGGCGGGTGCTCTATTTTGATCGCGTTTATTTGAGGCTGCATGTCGCTGAGGTCATGCAGTATGGACGCTGAAACCAGACGCACATTAGCGGTTGCGAATCCTCGCGCGAGTTCTTGCCGCGTCTACGTCATCCGTTTCTCCTTGTCGTAGACATCGTCGTCGTCGTCGTCGTCGTCGTCGTCGTCGTCGTCGTTGTCACGTTACCCCGAAGCATGTACGTGTCCATTCGAGAGTGACAAGCGAATTGATTTACAGAATGAAATTTGGTGACACAAAAATGATTCAGTTTTGTGGAGATTATCGAGTGAACACGTACAACGGAGCCAATCCCTTCGTTTTATATAATATCATATTTCAGGTGTTCCTTTTTATTAACAGGAGAGTAAATTTTGATTTGATTTTATCGAGGAGTTTGATAGAAGGATATCGAAAATGGTGTTTGACACTCGCTCGCTCCACTATGATAATCCCATTGCACGTCAGCCAAAAACAATAGCAGTCTAATCGGTTCGAAGATCCGGCAGTAATCAGCGACGATTAATACCGCCGATTATCCATCGGTCGTGCACGAAATCGAATGGTTGTCGAGGAGTCGAAAGCGACTCGACACGGAGCCCGCCCGTAAACACGAGCGAAGGGGACGGGTGTGAGTCGGAACGGGAGTATGCGAGGGTGCCGGGATCGGTTAATTAATCGCGCTGCCGGCCATTAGAATACGCTCCAGTTACACGTTGCGCTGAATCAGCGCCGCCGTAAAATAATAGGATTCCAGTTTGTCGCAGTTGGCGACGCGTAAATATAGGGATCCCTCGACCGAGCGTGTCGGTGTGGCACGACGGTCAACGACCAATTAGGTTGAGCTACTGCCGTGGAATTTGCATCTTGTGTAAGCGAGTCGATCGTAAACCACCGGCAAGCGATTTCGCCACCGATGTCCAACCCCCTCGCGGCTTCCTGACTCTCCTCTAATATCTTACCGCTCCTTCTTCCCTCATTCGCGCTGCTAACTTCAATTGTGTAACCGTTTTTAATAATAATTTATGGAACTGTCGAGTCATCTTCAATTTGAGTCTCAAAAAATGATTGCAAGGAATTCTATGGAATTTCATATTAAGACTGTTGGTTCTACTAAGAATGATTCAACTATTGCAAGTTTCTGAATTAGTCAAAGTTCCGAGTTAGGGGATGAACTCAGTTTCTCTATCTCGACGCTCGTATTTTAATCCCAGTATCTATGATCCTTTTCCAACCTCGATTCTTAATCTCCATGAATTATGCACATAGATAAACCAGCTCCGACATAAAAATATGTAAATAGATCCAACGTTAAAGTATCTCTAGATCACGTAATAAAATTCCCAAGGAAAGGTCCCTTGGAACAATTCTCGAACTTGAAATCTAGTCGAAATAAAGAAACGCAAACACTTTTAATTCAAAGGCATCGTAAAGAGTCGCGGTAACGTCGGGGAAAATCCTCGGAAGAGGTTCTTCAGAGGGAACAAAAGAGGCTCGCGCCACTTTCCCTGAAGACATCATGCAAACGCCTCGCGATCTAAAGGCAGCCGACTTGATCCCCTCGGTATGAACGAAAAAGACGACGACGTCATCCCCTTACCATAAACCTTCGATCATCGTTTCGCCATCGATCTCCAACCACCCCCAGCGGGGTTTAACTGTCCGGCGACACCCTCCCAATCCTCCCTGCAACTTTCGTCCCTTACTATAAAACTTTACTACAAACATTACTTCGGCGACTTTATTCCTCGCTATAAAGTTCACTATTAAACCAGATACATTTTCGCGTAGTTTCCTTGGATCATCGTTTCACAATCGATCACGAAACTCGTCGTCGCCAGGGGGGGGTAGGTTAAATTTCATTCGGCTGGTCCCTCCGACGGTGAATTCGGAGGAATTTTTTCGTAGTTCGCCCGGACCGACCAGTCCCTGTACCTTTCCCCAGGAAAAAAGCCGTGAATCGGTGAGCGGAGGGTAAAAAAAACAGCACGTTGAATCACTGTCCCGACGCCGTGCGCGGTTTTCGACGAATTTTTTTCCAACCCCCGGATATATACGTCACCGGTTTTTCGTCAACAATGCGCGGCACACACGTACACACAGCGGGTGGACGCGGGTGTGTGTATGTGTGTGTGTGTGCGCGCGGGCGCGCGAGATTCGAGCGGGAAAATGGTCGGCAGCGCCGCAGGGGGGCAGTATTTTCCGGGTTCCTTCTCTCTTTTTTTCTTTTTCCCCGATGTGAGAGGCACGGCACGTATCCCGGATAAAAAGGGGCGCAATTTTCGTGCGGGGTTGGGGAGTGGGACCGGCGAATGTGAAATAGAGAAGAATATCCTGTCGGTGGTGACGCTTGGCGACGTGCAAGACGGGCCATAATAGAAACACGCCACTCGCTATTTTTCGATCGGGCTGGTTGCACAGTCGCGGAATAGCTGCACGTGTGGAAGATTGTAAGTTTTTACCGAAAAATTCTTTCCAAGTATCGAAACAATGCGTTCTTACAAAGCGAGGTGTCGTCGTTCATTGCCAGACGGCTGTAGGAAAAACTTGCGAATCGTGGAAGTTTCAGTGATACGATTCCATTGAATCATTAAAATTTCCCAACTCGTTCATGTCTTGAATAAAGACTCCAGCCTACGCTTGCCATTCAAAGAAGACACGTATAAGTATAATATAACAATTTGATAAAAGTGGATCTTTCTCCTATTTGCACACGGCGAATAATAAAAGCGTACTGTTACGCAACAGTCTTTTCGTTAATTGAAGGGGACATTTGGGAAAAAAAAAAGGCTGTTCGATCGAGTCGCGAAGATCGTCAGAAGGGAGCTGCTCGCTGGTCCGACGACGGAGGGGAAGAGAGGCGAGAGAAAGAGATGCAGCGAGGCTCTCTCAGCAGCCTCTGAGGCCGTGAGCATTGTTCCCCGTCTATTAATACACCGGGTTGCATACTAATCTCCTGCAACGGTGACGCGGAGACCGAGGAGAGGAGACGAGGGAGCTGCAAAAAGGTGGAGGAGGATGAGGCGCGAGGGGACGACGGGTGCAAGGGGAGACGAAGAGTGCAGATGCATACGCCGCGCCGAGGCGTTTCGAGGCTCGATACGCGCTCCCCTGCCCTATTATTCCATTTAGTGCCGGTGCACGCGTGCCGCGATGCTCCTTCGGGGAGGTCCGGGGCAAAATTTAAGGAACTGCGTCAATAATAAATTCCTTCCTAATTACAATTTTTCTTGATCTTGACCAACGAATGAAAACGGATTAATTGATGATCAAAGAAACGATTAAAGAACTATGCTGGATTAAAAAGGAAAGCGCTTCAATAAAAAATTCCCTTAGATTTTTAAAAAAGAAATCAATCTTAGTAAATATCCGTCTGTCATCTAATCAACAATCAATAATTATTATACATAATGTTTGAGAAGCTTATAATTTCTGCATTGAGAATGGCCGGAACTTCTGTCAGGGTTGAGCTAGCCGGGTGTGAGAGGGAACTTGACCCCGCAGTTATCGGTGACTAATAGAAAGCGAGAGACTGGCAACATAGTTAACTTGGGAAATTGGCAGACAATGTCGAGCAATAACACTTGGTCCCATCTTGTTCTATCAACGAAACGATCTTAGCGAGTTCTTGAACAACTCCTTCTCAACTTATCCCCTCGTGATTAGCTATTTGAAGAGAAATGCGGATCGACCTTGTGCATCTCCGATGGAACAAGTAACAATGCCCGTCCCTTCCGTTATTCGCGAGAAAAATAGAGCGTCGGTTTCTAAATTTACGTTCGCCAGAGTTACGCGGCTTGGTACAAGTAGCATTCGCGTCGGACACAATCATTTTCTGATCGCGTTACACTAACAGAGAGCTGTGTAACTTTCGGTCTTTGATACAGCGAGCATACGAAAACGCGTGCCAATCGTTCGCCAGCGATAGCGAAAGAGGAGGCGAAGTGGGCTCAGCTACGCCAAAAGGATTAATCGTCCAATGGAATGGCAATTAATAATAACGATAGAATCGTTGCGTGTAATTTTGATCAACTCTCGGAGGTAATTATTTTTTCCGAAGAAGAGATCTTACCACGGGTAATAGTGGAGCGAGCTTCCTAATCCGTCGAATGAGGATGCTTTCAAAAGGTCTTTCTTCGCAACGACTCGTCGGTTACCTTTCGAAAGCATCCATGAGAGTTTCGTGTTTCGAGCAAATTTCGATACCCCGGACAGAGAGAGAGCAAGGTGTTGACAAAAATATGTTCATGCAATAGACTTAGAGAGATGGAGAGAAGGAACGTAACGTCGTACCTTTTGAAAGCATCCAGAGCTCCTTCGAGCTGAAGACACCTGTCGCTAGGATCGTGTCATTGCAGACAACACCGTTATATAGTTCGTGGTAGCCTGCACCTGGGAACAGAACCCAGTTAACAATCGGGCGACGCTCGGTCGCCAAAACGTTCACACCCCTTCTCGCGGCGTGTTCACGGGGAATTAAAGAAGAAAGCTATTTTAAAGGAAAGTTTTTACCTTTTCGCCGCCTCTCCTCCTCCTTGTTCGCGTTGCAGATGCCGTTAAGGACCTCTGGAACAATCCAACACCAAACGCAAGTTAGTTTCTCAATTACTGTCCCACTTTGAATATTTTTTTCTTCCTTCACCAAGTAAATTTAGTAATTTTTCATACTTTCACGATGTTTTCTATCCCCACTTGATACGAGTGACAATTCTTACTTCCTACATAGTATATTTTTATTTTCTACATAAAGGAAATTGAATGCAATCTTTCAGTCCTGCGATTTGAAACAGGAATGTTTCAGACGTTTCGCGACGGTGCGGCATGATCGCTGAGCCCGGGATTTCCCTGGACCCGATTTTAGGGTAGCAGCCATCCTCGAGCGCTAACATCAGTATCTCACCTTCGCTGTCGCACGGTGTTTTATATCGCGGTACCTTACGCAAATCTCATTACGCAACATATCACCGAAATACACGAGAGCCCGGAACGTGTGTTCGACTTCTCAGCGACGGAGACAGAGAGAAAAGCGCGCGGTCTCTCCCCCCTGTGTATCCACCTTGTGAAACGGTGTACCCGTCGCTCGCCGAGGGGGGGACCGGGGGGGGGGGAGGTAGGACAGATTCCTTCTGCGCGGATGGAAATTCGGAAAAACGTTTCGCAATCGTCGCGACACCCTCGATCGGCGTTTCTCGAGGAACGGCGAAAAACCGAGCAACGAACGGATTTTATAAATAGACGTTAACAAACATACCACGTTCACTGCCCGGTTTATTTTTAATTGCGACTCAACCTTATATCGTTATTCGCTAAGCCGCGCACAGCCGCGGTAAACAATCTTCACGTTTTTTTAAACCATAAGTAAGTTCCATCGATGCGACCATAACGATTTTATTTAAAAATTGCGTCTGCATCTGTTGAGGTACAAAATTCATTGCAAGCTTCGTTCCATGCAATGAGGAAATACTTTGTTCATTTAAAATCTTTTCATTTTTCATAAAAATCCACGTTAGATTATTACAATTCGATCTTGGCTCACGGATAAAAGTGGCTTAAATAATGATCAAAGAGAAGATTAAAGAATTACGCTGGATTAAAAATGATGTGGAAGATACTGGAAGCGTTTGAAACGTCGAAGCGTTGTTTTCGTTGCAGAATTCAGCCGGTGAATATGGCTGACAGAAGACATGTGATTTTAATGCGCGTCTATTTCGGTTTAGTCGAACCGAGTCGCCTTTGAAATCGAATATATTCCTTCTAATCGAACCTCAAAAGACTTACATTCTCAGTTCGCGTGTTAATTTTTTAAGAACACCGACCAGACGAGTGTCGGTCGAATCCTGGTTAGAGAAACTGGGAACAATAATGTCTGATTAAAAGTTACAGGTAAATTAATAATAGAATTGGTTTACCTGCTGACTATTTTATTATAGAGACTGATATTTGTTATGTACACGTGTCGTGACGTCAGAGATAAATTCTATTGCTATTTTTAATAATTCTTGGAAAGGCACCTCGTTACTATACATCTCAGTAGATATTCATATTACACGATAGATGCTGTCCTAATTATTTTCTGATCTAAAGCATCCCAGATCGCAGAGTACAATTCTCCGATTGAATTAGACAAGCAGAGATCATTTTCGAATATAAAAAGAAGCCTAATGGGCGATTGACGAGTATCAAGCAGGCTAAAGAGGCTCCAGCTCGAAGAAGACAAGAGATCCGTTCGATCGTTCAAGAAGATTCTTAGTATTGCTGTAAAATGGTCGTCCTTGAGGGCACGAAATTACCCGCTCATGGATCACATAGAGTCAACAGATCCGCTTTCTGTTATTGTTCCAACAGCGAGAAGAAGCCCGTAACTAGTACGTGTCTGCTAAAATTTCCGCGGCGCATCTACGCGGCTGACCGACTCAGACCACTGCCCGACTAATTCTGCTATTACTCCTGTCGCAGTCAAAGGACCCTTTCGTCTAGCCACGAAGCTGTCGCAATCCACTCTCCAAGTCTATTAGTAATCTCGACGAACAGTTTTCATGCAATGCTAACAGTAGACTAACAAAAACCAGGAAGAAATTACGGACAGCTTAAACTAAATGCTCCGTCGATTGGATTTTTAGACTTAAGACTTCTTAGGATTTTTTAATCAAACTGAAGGATCCAAGGATTAATCGCAGGTATCAGAATATTTACTTGAGGTATTCGCAACAGTAGCAGCGAGGAGGGAAAGAGAGAACTCGCTACAAGATGTCCGTCGCCTATTTATTTATAGAGCGAGCACACATCGGCACGCACGGTCACATGTTCCCCGTGCAGGGAACGCGTACACACGAAATACGTGCGCGAGCGCGCGCGAGGGTGCGTCTTCGACTTTTCCCCTCGCGAAAAATCTCGGTTTATATTTTCTGACCCCGTTTATTTGTTAACGCCAGCCACGCGATTATTGTTTGCTCAGATAATACGATGAAAGTGCCGCGGATAGATAAAAGGAATAAACCGGGTTAAGGAGGACCGGCCAGCGTTGAAACACAAATTTAAGAGCTGAAAACCGGCAATGCGTCTGACATTTTTATATATTATCTCGTCCAATAAATTCATGAGAAGTCGTAGGCAAAATATATGTGCAATTTTAAAACTGCTCATTTCCGAGGAGGAAACTTTTGCACGAGGAAGTATTTAAATATATTACGAATATAAATATACCTGTTGTATTCATTATATTTTAACATCTGTCGATAGATTCTTTATTATTTCTTGCAAGACCCATAATACGTTTTCTAATTCCATTTCCATCCTAATTTTTGTGTGCAATCTGAGTTTCCGGTTGTTTCCAGCTGTTGCTGGATTTCCTCGGGACTTTTCACAGACCGCCTAAAACCGGACAGGGTGCGCACGATAGTTTGGTGGCATCGCGAAAATGCGACGACGTGTCCGAGAACGTCACGCATCGAGAGAAGCACCTGTCCTCTCTCGAACACTTTCATAAGAGACGATCATACTTACGCAACCGGCCGAGTGATATTTAGCTCTTAAAGCGAATACGTATCAACCTTCCTCCTTCCCCCTTTTTCCTGTCTCATTTTAATTAATTTCTCTGCTATATTTAATCGACTCGCGAAACGCGTACCACGTAGCTTTGAATCGACTCGATATTTCAGAGGATAAAAAGCTTTTGAATGAAGAATGTCTAATCTCCCATTGAATAATTGCAATAGAAAAACTTGTGGATAAAATTGTATCAATTTGAAAAACGAAAGAAATTAATAAAAATATTGAAGATGTAAAACGTTGATGTGATTGTTTCATGAAAAATTGACTATCCGAAAATGTCTGATTGCTTTATGAAAAATTGAATACCATAAAATGTCTGATTGATAAGAATTGGGATTGGTTATCCATGATCTTCTATGTAGGAACACTTCCTTTCTATAATAATACCGTCTATTAGGTCAGTCGAAGCGAACGGAGCAAGTATCTACTTTTAGCATACAACGTCCGCGCGGTACGCCGGATAATCCGAAAGGGTCCGAAGCCTTCGGCTAGCAGGCCGGCAGCCACCAAGTTTATATTATTGTGGTGCACTGTATATTTACAGAGGGCCAGGAATTTTTATGATGTTGATCCTACCCCCGTGAAAATCCCCTTCGCGTCTATGCAATCTGGTAGCGTCGTAATCACACGATTAACTTCGCCGTTTCTTATATCTAACGTTGATACAGTCCTCCTTTATGGAGAGAATATGCAAATCTGATCTCGTAAAAAATTATGCGAAACGATAGGAGAATAAAAATCCAAAAGGATTCTTGGAATCGACATGCAGATTCGCGAAATAAGGACAAGGATTTCAGCCATTCGATGAGAGACCTTCGAGCTTCGAAAGTGGAGCAGAGGACGAGAAGTTGGGCGTAAAATTTTTACGGGAGAAAGTTGAAAAAAGCATTGAATTATGGCGAATTCGAAACAGACCGGTCGATCTTCCGCGGTTTAAAACGCCGGGAGATTGTCCCGGCGATTAATTGGGTCGCGAACTTTCCAAAGCTCTTTCGCTGAATGCAAATAAATAACCGCGATTAAGCTGATCTCTTCTAAACGAGTTCGCGTCAGAAAAATCGTCTTGAAAAGGGATCAACAAGTATCGAAGTAAAATACAAAGATATAAGAAAATTAGTCTATTAGTGATAGAAGTTACACAGCCGTACTTTCGTGGTGAATGGGTCATTTATAAAATTCTACAGATATTAGATCCAGTTCTAATTTCAAGCATACTAATCTCATTAATAGACCACACGACCTAGAAAAGATTGTCCTACATTACGATCTTCGCGAATAGCAACTCTTCAATTAGCCTCCCTTCTAAACCAATTGCATGTAAAACAAATCCTAAACAATATGACGTATCACGTTTCTGTAACTATCAATCATTCTGATAAGGCAGGAAAAAATGAGCTTCTCAGAGCCCATTCATATTTCATGGATCATTTGAAATTTAAGTGTTCTCCTGTTTGCATCGGCGTCAGAATCAATTGCAGTTATTGTTAATGCGAATATAATTTCAATGAATGTCAAACTTTTCGTCAAGGGGTTAATGAGAGCGCGTAGAAGTGCCTTTAAGGAAGAAGTAGGAGGAGGCGACAAACGGTCTGGAGCGCGCCTTAACCTACCCCATATCTTGGCAGCGACGCGTTTTTTTCTGTTTCTCGTAGGTGGTGCGCGGTAGGCCTGGCCAATTTTTGCGTCGACCCGCAGCTGTAAACATTAGAAAGCCGGCTGCCAAGGCGTAAGCGTACCGACGCGGTGGTCCGCGAAAGAAAAAGAGAGAGAGGAGCCAACGGGGCGAGACCGAACTCTGCCAGGATCCGCGCGCGTACGCACGGAAATTACGTGGTTCCCCCCGGGCCGCGGCCGTGAGTCAGTGGGTTCGATGAAACCTCAAATGAAAGAAGAAGAGGACGGGCACCGGTCCCGATCCCGCTGCCAGCTGATCGATCGAAACACGTCGATCATTGGCCCACGTGTCGCGTTTCCTTTTCTCATTTTCCCATCCACAGGTAGGAGAGAACGGATATAAAAGAAGTTATCAAGCGAAACCTAAGCGAATTTTTTAAAACCGAGGTCTTGTCTTAAAATGTTTGGAAGGCCAGATTCTCGAACCCTCTGAAACACTTCCGCCCTAGCGACTCTTAGAATCTTGCACCCACGCTGGAAACGCTTCCGGTAGAATCCGCTCTAGAATGCACGCGCGAAGGTGGAGAAGAGGACCGCGAGTTAAATTCATGGAACGCGAAACGATCGAATGCCTTGGACGGTGGACAATTCTTCTCTTCGAGCCAGACTGACTATTCTTGAAGAGTGACCGATCCTTGGAGCTGTCTGCCAATCGCGTGAATGTCCGTGCGCGTTTTCGTCGGAAACGCGAGCCAGCGAGACGCGCGGAGGCCCGCGCCATGAGATCAGTCCTACGGCGCGTACCGTCGTATGGGGGCCGCCGGTGAAATTGGCAGACCGCTCCAAGAAACTTTGAATCCAAGCCGAGTCGAGTGGACACTTTGAATGGACGGATGTGCGAATGAATGAACGTTCGCGCGTTCAACGTCACCCGCTTCTCTGTCCGTCCGTACTTATCCTTGTATTTTTCGATATACTTCAGGTAGAAACATCATATTGTATGAAATCCTACGTTCTTATGTGACTTTTTCTAATCGTCTTCAATCAATTTTCTAATCGTCTTCAATCAATAAAATGTGAACTGACAAAATCTAAAACTGAACTTACTGATAGAAAATAATATATTTTTGTGATATTGATGTACTGTCTTTAGAAAAATCGACTAAATATACTCCTTATTGTACAACGTTTCGAAACGTAGCATAAAAATTTGTCGATACGCGGGTAACTTATTATAATAAAGCGCAGCAATGGCTTACCGTGGCTGGTGATAAAATTGGCGAGGTAGAGATCGAGTTCCCGGACGGAGACGTTGATGTGATAGGGGTTGACGCAGAGGCCCGGCTGAGCACATTCCGCAGTCTTCTCCAGCCGTTCCCCGTCCGTCGACTCCAACGGAATTGCCTTGAAGAGGATCACCATTACTAGGTCCAACCTCCATACCTGTGACATAACAAAGTGGTGTCCGGATTATATTGGCTGCGCCCGCATGCCGTATCCTTCGATTTCCTGTGCTCTCTCGCGATTTTACATCGAATGGAAATACAAGACTTACTCTCGATCCATTTAAGGTTGTATGAGCGGTAAGATCTCTGCCAAAGGTTTAGGAACCAATGTCCAATATTTGAAAAAATATTTACAGAAGTGAAGTTCATGAAATTGGTCAACGTTTCTTTTAAGTAACATTTTTAATGTATAATTTCTAATATTATAATATATGGTTTTTGGACTTTTTTATATGACTGTACGTAATTTGTAACTGTATTATCTAGAAGCACTAAAATTCTTACTTTTGCTTATTTTTTATTGTCTATTTTAAATAATATCCTTTAAGTTGATATTATGTTCTTAAAACATGTATTAATAATTATACAAGATTACAAAATCCTCTCACTGGTGCATCTATACTTTTTCATAGGTAAAATAAAAAATTGCTATTAAACATAAAAATTCAAGATGTAATAACTTTCTTAATAGCCTCGCAAAATTTCTAAAATTTTGCAGACTGTCTTATTAATGTAATATCTAATGTCTAAATTAATCTATCTAAATATGTATTTAATAGCTATTAAAATTTCAGTGCTTTGTAATTGTTTTTATTTAATGCTACATACAACCTTAATAACTCCACCATTATTTAATAACAAAAATCCTACATTTAATTGTACATCATCACTATTCTAATATTAATTAAAGTCTGAAGACGTATTGTATATAAAAACAAGTGCAATCGTTTTGAAAGTAACAGAGTATACTACGTATAGGATCACAGGATCAGTGGTGAGTGTTTAAGTAGAACAGGACATTAGTGGTCGGACTGACCTTATCGGCTTGACGCAGGCAGTCGATCCGACGCATTTTACCCTTCTGATCAGGATTACTAAGGACGCACATGGCTGGCCTCTTCCCAGTGATACTCAGCACGAAGTCTTCCCTGTACTCCTGCGTGATATCCTTTCGCAGCTTCCCCAAAAGCCGCGAGGCCCATTTCTGTTTCACCTCTAGCTTCTCGTTCTGCAACCAACAAAGTAGACGACTCGTCAGACGATTTACAGGAATACTAATTTACGTTCGTTACAAATGAATAAAATAACCATTCTGATTTATGTACATTTCCCATGGACAGTTTTTGCACGTAACAGTTACCGAGGATGGAAGAAAATGGAGAGATAGAAGCCTCGCAAGCAGGCAACTATCGCGGTCATATCTCACCGAGTAGGAGTAAAGATAACTGTCCAAGAGTCAACCGGCGTTCCAACTTCTTGTCGAGCGGGAAGAGGGGGGAAAAGAAGAACGTGCTAGCACGCATCGTCTCGTAAACTAGTTACTAACGGAAAGCATATTTCGATGCTACCCATAACAGCTGTTGATCTGGAAAGTTCCCGACAGTTTACAAACTCTCCGTAGCGACGCGATGGCTCGGGACCAAAGCAACGCCTGACCTCAAACTATTCGTCGGGAACGATATGCGGGATCACGTCCCCACGTGTCCCCCTACCTCCGCCCTCTCGATATCTTGACCTTCCTCCAGTTTTCCGCGCGCCTTCCCCCTTTCCCTTACCGACTCCTCATTTCAAATTTTTTTAGAGGCTCCAATTTCGTATGCTAGGCAGGCTGTTTTTAGAGGAGGTGTCAAGATAATTAGAGGATGTTCTTATTTAAAATCAAGTACTGCGTTAAAAATTAAATTCGGTAGAAGGAAAAATCAAAGTCCAAAACGCAGCGATTTTCCTCGAACTTTTTAAACACTTAAATTTCATATGCCGAACAGTTTTTAGAGCAGCTGTCAAAATACTTAGAGGGCTTCTAAAATCGAGTTATACATCAAATACGAAACTCCGTAGGAGAGATGTTGAGAAAATCGAAGTTGCTTAGAGTGCAACTACGTAGCGCAGCGATTTTCCTCGGTTAAGCTAGACAGAGAAAAGTATCGAGCTCTCGGGGCGCACGTGCATGGCAGAAAGGGGCTAGGCTACGACGGATAGATCAACGTCGTCGTCGTCGTCGCGTTCGCGGTTGCTAAGCGTCGATGCATTCCGCGCGCTTTCGACGCATTTCTCAGGGACCTTATGCACCCGCGCGCATTTGCTATTCCACCGGTGGTCGCGGCCGTGATGTGAATATAACCGGGAAGAGAGAGAACCAGAGCCGAACGGGTCACCGCGCGACGCGAACCGACCAACTTCGCTCGCGGATTTCCACGGTGTGACTGAAAAACGAGCCTGCTCGCGAGCCACCTGCGGAATTTTATTCCCGTTCGTATTATACGAGGGCCTCAGTTCCCGTGTAAC